ATAATAAGGTTAGACTCTGGTGTAAACACATGAATCCATGGACCCAGCCTGCCTTGGTTGTGATAGAGAATTGGTCCTTCCCAGGGCGGTTCTAGTATTAAAATGATGTTCCTAATAAAGTGGCCGGTGAGCATACATAAAGATAAGAAACAAATAAAGTGTCTGACAAAGTAGGTTGCTGGATAATGGACTGTTACAATTTTGTAATAACCTTCACTAAGAAAACGGCGAATTGGGAGTGTCTAGCCGATACCGATTAAAGCCGATTAAAATATCTTTTTAATAAGGTCAGTATTGGTGCTGATACAGACCAGTTTGTCAAATTGGTGCATCCCTAATCAAACTGTTATTTCCAGCTATCTTATTCAAGATAGAGATCAGGCAAGATTTTTATTTGAATTTATTTGAACTGCCCCGCACAACCTCCTTCAACTCATTCCAGGGGGATCAGATGCCCGAACCACATCAACTGGCTCCTCTCAGTGTGGAGGAGTAGTGGCTCTACTTTGAGCTCCTCCCAGATGACTGAGCTCCTCACCCTATCAAGAACAGGGTAGCCCGCCAGAAAGTTCATTTCTGCCACTTCTGTCCGCCTTCTCATTCTTTTGGTCATTACCCAAAGCTATTGACCATAGGTGAGGGTGGGTATTGTACATGGACTGGTAAACAGAGAGCTTTGTTTTACGTGACCGCATCACTGCTGCCGCCTGTCCCAGCCTGCAGCCGATCTTAAACTTAAACTCCTCCACCTGGGGCAGGTCCTCTCCCCTTACCTGGAGGGGAATGCCATCCTTTTCCGGGCGAGGACCATGGACTCGGGCTTGGAGGTGCTGATCCACATACCAGTCGTTCACACTCAGCTGCAAATACTCCAGTGCATGCTAGAGCACCCATATCTTCAAAAACAACAAATTTATAGCTAAGTTTCTATATGTCGATTGAATGGAATAAGGGGTGAACAGTACCGTTTGGAATGTTAACATTGTTTACACGTCAAATTGGACTCCTATTTTTTACAAATAAACATGTGGTTTTCGCTAAAATGGCCCATTTAAACATTGAACATTGCCAGTTAACTTACAAAATCAATAGTTGCTTCTGTTTCATTTGTGTATTGTTAAGTACTTTTCTAATTTATGGTCCTTTCATGTCACGCTCTAAAGTGGCTGTGTCTTTAGTTGCAGTAGCTATACGTGCATTTCAGAATCAATAAAGCGTTAAGCATCTTGATTCATGGTGACATGACAGCTTTAGCAATTTGCCATCATATTCCCAGGTTACCCTGCATATGTGAAATGAGTTAGTCTCTCACACTCTCCTTTTTTTTTTTATCCTTTCCCTCTCACTCTCTCTCTCACACGTACCCTCCTCATGTCTGGCACTCGCTCCCTGTGAGTGGCCCGCTGTCTCTCGTCTCTCACTCAGCTGTGTCATGTGCTGCTCTGTTCTGCCTGGTGACAGTAAAGCGGCTGATGGATCTGCAGCCTCTCTCAGTGTTGGCTACACTGAGCGCTGGCTGCCTCCGGCGTTTTGGGCTAATGCTGTTCCTCGCACCCACTCTGTCTGCTTTTTATTCAGCTCTTTATCTCACTGTCTGCCGCCCTGTAGTTGGCCCGTAGTTTTCCGTCTATTTCTTTCCTCATTTCTGTGTCTGTCTGTGCCTGTACGTGCGCGAGAGTGTGTGTGCCATGTCAGTGTTCAGTGTCTCTGTGGGTACGGATGCTGAGGGCTGTGTCTCCATGGCAATAATGGCAGCTGGATGGCCCTGAGGGAGAGAGAGTGTGAGTGAGCGAGAGAAAGAGAGGGGATGGCATTGCCAGTGGTATCTGGGGCAGAGAGAGTGTGCATGTCGCTAGGAGACCAGGACAGGAGATCCAGTATCCGGCAGTGCCACTCCATTGGAGAAGTGCTCGCTCCTTATTCATTCTGTCTATCTTAAAATGAAAGCCAGGGCTTAAGAGCCTCCATCCATTTTCCAGTACTGACCCCTCTCTCTCTCTCTTATTTTCTCAGATTGTTGCTCCTAAGCAGCCAGGCTTTGTCAATTTAACTGGACCTGTCCAAACAGGTCAATTTTCCCCATTTTGCTAACTACTTCCTTTCATAATGCGCTGTTTGATCAGGCCATGCCTGGCCAAATAGGCTAATAGAACAAGTGCTGTGTTTTATGTTTCATACACTGCATTTGTTTAGGCTGAAAGCCCATAGCTTCAGGCCATGATCAGCAGAGCTCCAGGCCATTACCTTAGATAGGTTTGGTTCTGACTGCAGGGTCTGACTGGGCCGGGAGCTCCAGGTCCATTGTGTAATCAGCCTATGAAGAAATATGAGGATTTCACGGTCTTAAGCTGTAAATATGCACAGTCTGCTCAGTTGGATCATAAATGCTCCTTCTCAATCTCAACTTCCTACATAAGGTTATATAATTAGACTGCTTTGCAAAGCCTTTCATACTTGTGAATGTTAGAGATTCAGATTGGTGATCTTCAGTGATGATGGAATCTCAAATGCAGTAATTTATGTGGAAATATATATATTGAAATATATAATTCAGTTGAATACGCTAATATAGGCCTCAGAAGCAAGATGTACCAATCCCTGACAACATGGAAGTCATAATGAATAAATAGTAATTGTTTACTACAAAATTTAGGTCAGATTTCAATGCATGTAATTAATTTTTTGTATATAATTATCAGTTCTATATGTAGCTCTTTTATCTTGAGCTACATATCCTGTTATCATCCTGTTGAAGGTCAACCTGAACTTAAAATTGACCCTTTTTTTTCCCTTGTATGTTCATGCCCCTGGTTATATTAAAGAGACACTCCAGCCAGAATTACCTGTAAAATCTGCTGTAAATATGCCTACACTAACTGCAACTGCTTTGGGGTAGATGTTTGAGGTGGGCTTTTTAAACTGTTAATGTTTGCTTGTTTATTACCCTATAGATTAGTGGCAGCGCTTGCATTTAGGATTGGTTGATAGTGTAGGGATTTCCCAATGGTTGTATGACATGCTTGCGCATTGCATGCTGGGTATTGTAGTGGGAGAACGCTGATGAATTAAAACTGTTTGGTCAAGGGATATAATTCTGCCTTACGCAATACTGCATAACACATCGTTTTGGGCTAGAATATGCCTTTTCATCTTCAGAGTTTGGATCACATCACCATGAACCAGCAAGTGGAGAAAATAATATTAACCAATAATCTCACCTCTCCCTACCACCACCACACCAGTCATCGAGGGAAAACACTCAGCTATCTCCGAGACCCTCCCTAATACTGCTTTGCACTCAAATACATTATGGTATGAAAGGAAATGGGTTATGTTTTCTAATTCACATTGACTTTAAGCCGTTGTTGAATGTTAAGTAACAGCTGAGGGTTCTGGTTACCCAGACTATGGCTATGGTTGAATGCTCCAGCATCAGGTTCCAGTGTTGTGATGATGTATCACCCACACAATGAGTCATTAAACTGATAGTTCAAACAGACAGTGGTAGCATGATGTCATGCTAACTGGCCCTGCTAGTTTTTAATTCAGTATCAGCCACATTATTATGAGTAAAGACTAAAGATGGATGTTGAGACATCTCTACCTCACCATCAGATAATGGGATGTTTGGTGGTTCAGTCAGATGACACAATAGTGCAGTTTTCAGTCATGCTCGACACGAGGTTGATAACATCTCACCAGTGTAAGAGAGGCCTTGATGAGCTGTGTGCCCTTGTTTTAAGTACTCTCAAAGGTGGGTTAGCACATTCTTGAAAAGTTCTTTTTTCTGAATGCTCCAAGCTGCTTTTAAGAGTGTTGATTCTCTTGCATCACACCATCACTGATGTAACACAGTCAGCACTCATTCAGTAGCTATGAGCTAATTTGTGTAGCTCACACTTGAGTCTGTCAGTGCTTTATAGCCTTCAATGTTAGGTGAGTTGCTTATTGTGTAGCTTAGCTTGTGGCAGTCAAGATAATGTTGTACAAGTGCAGTACAGCTCGAGTCACTTTATAGCGCATTCTCTGCCCTGTTTCTGTCTTATTTTCATTTTCCTTTGCTCTAATCTCTTCTCTCCGTTTCCCCGGCTCTGCTCTCGTGGCCTAAATTTGGAGAAAAGCAGTGTTTGTCTCCTCTGATGTGTGCTGCTGCACTGCGGGCAATTTTGTGGCACGAGTTCCAGCCGCTCTCTCTCCAGACGATCCGACAGCACCCTCAGTCTGCTCCAAAAGATAATGCTCCTCTGTTTCGCACTTTAAAATGTGCACTCTGCAGACCCAACACTTCTAGAATCGTCTCTGTCTCAGTGAGCCGGAGGCCTGTCTGGCCCCTCCTGCAGCCTGGATCAGCCACAGCGTCTAGCCTAATCAGATTGGGCCTGCAGTCTGGGGCTGGCTGGGATATCGCAGCTACCCGCTCTAATGCCGCGGGCTGTCTGGCTGCCGGAGATAGGCCAGCATTGTCTTGCTTTGCTTGTCTGTCTGGGTAATGGCTGGCTGTACCAGGGAGACTGTGCCTTTTTACATATTACAGTCCAGTCATCTAATTCTTTTTTCCCTTTTGTGGGACGGAAGTGGAGTTTGAATGGGGGATGTGAATAGTGGTTATCGATATCTTGAGCCTTGTTCAAAGTCTGAAGATTCTGGAGTTTTCTGACTATCTTTCTTAGACTTTCTATACAACATGGAACAAATGTTACTGTAACTTGTGGCCTTTATATGCCTGCTGGGTTTTTGAAGTGCACATCATGGGAGTTGAAATAGGTTCTTCTGTATTAGGGTGCTATTAATAAGAAACTAAAAACTCAAGCCAGTTCTACATTCTGAGGCCTGTGGCTCCTGCTGAGTCCAGTATACTGTTCTCTGCTGCCATCCTGTGGTCAAAATGAAAACAGCAGCCCTCTATTCTCATAACTCACAAGGATGACCAGCCTTAAACCAGATTTGCAGTGGTGATGTGTTTCTGTAACATTATTCTAAATCTTTTCTCTCTCCTGCAGCTGAACTGGAGTTTGTGCAGATAATGATCATAATCGTGGTGATGATGGTGATGGTGGTGGTTATTATCTGTCTTCTGAACCACTATAAGCTTTCTACGTGGTCCTTCATGAGCAGACCGGGCCAGGCCAGGAGACAAGAGCACTCTCTGCAGCCGGTAAGACACAAATAATACTATTAATTCTCTGTCTCTGTCTTCACTCACTGTGTAATAAAGTATGTTAGTTAATGGATTTTGCAGTCCTGTTCAATGTGCCAGGAATAGAAAATGACTTGCACCACTCTAGATCAATATATTTCTGTGTATGTTTTAGGGGTGGGCAATGTCTGGAATTTTCTAACTACCATAGACGATGGCATCGTTGAACAAAAGCCATTAACACTCTTTAATTATGAGCTCAAGGCAGTGCAGAGTCCGGAGCATTTGCAAAATAAAGTCAGACTCAGTATCTGGCGAGCTGGCCTGACAGATGCGTCGCCTCCACCAGTGAGAGTTATTTGGAGTGTCTGTGTTGCTGTTTCACTAATGCCTGATTGTGACTTTAAGCACTGTATATTGGTTGGGGGTCCCATTCGCCAGCTTTCTGATAAATACCTGCAGTAGTCTCGCTCGCAGACACAGCCATAATGATTAAATTCACCCCAGCTCTGTCTAGACACCAGCCAGACAGCCACGCAGCCCACTGCACCGTGCAGCAGAGACAGATAAATGTCTGAGACCTTTTCATTTTTATTCATGAGGGGGAGGGAGTGGACTGAGGCAGAGCATGTTGAGAGGCAGTCTGGAGAGAGAACAGATCTAGCTGCTGCTTTTGAACAGACATGTAAAACACTAAGAGTTAGCATTATGACACAGATGAGCGCTTTTTTTTAACTGTTAGTTTACGCTTTGTCTGGATTTAAGGGAGATTTGATTGTTTGCTTGGATCCCATGAGGTATATGCCAACAGTGACACTAACTAAATTTGATTCTCAGTCATCTTGGCTCTGTTTGGAGCGGTTAGCTTGTTTACTGATTCTATGACTTTTGTTCCTTTTCATTTACCTTTTGTGTCTGACTTAAATTATTGTTGTTATTAGTAGGGATGCACTGATAGGGGAATTTTGGGTGATATTTTTCATGTACATATTTCCCAAAATGTAAACATTCATAAAGTATAGAACATGGATCTAGATCTATCTGGATTAGCACTGCTGAGAAATTCATTAATTTCTGTAGCATCACAAAAACAGTAAAACGAATAAAACGCAGATGTTTTAATGTGTTGATCCAGCTTTGCCTATACCTTCTGCTCTTCTGGAGCACAATAAATACATAAATAAATACAGTGCAGCCCATAATATTGGTTTGAAATAACTGTCAAATCTAAACTTCAGTCCAGTACTGATATCCTTTTTAAGAAATAATCTATCAATACCAATAATATTCTGATATTATTATGCATCCCTAGTTATCTGTACCCTTTTTACATCTAGTTTAAGATTAGTGTTCACTTTAAGATTTGCTTGTGCTGTACATTGCCTAGTGGCACACATTTTCAAATACATTACATTTTAATTGTTCTAAGTCTTAATTCTAATCATTTCCCTCTTCCTTTATTCTGTCTCTTCTGATAGGAGGGATGTTTTTGGCCATCAGATAGTGGTTCCAGACAAGGAGCTTCAGAGGTGAGACCATTAACTCAGTTTGTGTGTTTTCATAGTCTTTCATTGGAAGTCTGTGTTTGCTGAGGTCAGGGGGAGGAGAGAGGGTCAGCGTCTGAGGCAGGGCCTCTCTGTTAATGATTGTCCATGTGTTGCCTCCCTCTGTGTGTGTGTATGTGTCTTTGAGACCCCTGTCTGCACGACTGTGTCTTTTACTGCGTCATTAATCACTTGCTCTCCTCTGGCAGCGTCTAGACAGCTGTCTGAGAGTCTCTCTCTCTCACTCTCTCTCTCACTCTCTCTCACTCTCTCTCTCTCTCTCTCTCTCTCTCTCTCTCTCTCTCTCTCTCTCTCTCTATTACCTCTCATTAACCACCCTGGCTAGAGTTGAAATGCAGCCCCATAAAACAAAACCGTCTGTCTCGTTGCCCTGCTAACATGGAGGTTTCCCTCAAATGGAATAATTGAATTGTGCGTGAATGGACGTCCTCTTCCTCCAGATGATGCTTTATTATGTAGTAACGCTGAGAAATTGTACTCTCTTTTTCAGCTTTTCACAGAAGATTGGAAAATTAAGTTTTGGATTATGGTAAACTCTTAGCACATTAAGATTTTTTTGTTTTGTTTTGTTTTGTTTTTTTTTTTAGTCATTTCAGTAATTTGTAATATGATTTGACTGTTTAACTTCAAATTTCCCAATCCTGGTCCTGGAAGACCCTCTGCAGTGCATTAAAATGTGCAGGAAGGCTTTAGGACAAGGACTTCAGCTCAATTATGTTAGCCAGTACGCTAACAGGGTAATGACATTTATCGGGAGTAGCATGTACTAGAGAATTCACCAGATAGTTAATGTAATATTATGAGTAAAGGTGCAATAACAGCTTTTGATGCATCATTTTGGTTGCTATAATATAAAGCATTGTAACTGTAATGTTCTTAAATGTTCATATGATGAATATGCCATTCTGACAGATTACAGTGCTGGAGGTGTTGGCAATATCACCACTGATAAAACATATATCACCACATAAAATTAGAAACCACTTCTTTTGCACAGATGAAACTTTGAATGGATGAAACTTTGAAGTCTCATCCATTCGTCATAGGACGTCATAGCTTGGAATTACGGCAGTTTCAACCTTTAAGCGTTTAAGATATAAAGTGGGGAGGGGGGCACCTCCATGAAAGTGAGTATTGTTAGCAACGAGCTAGTCAGCTAACATTAGTCTTGTAAGTCATATAGAAAAGTTTAAACACCCCTCACTAGGGGTGCGGAAAAAAAACGATTCTTAGATGCATCGCGATGCAGACGTGGACGATTCTGAATCGATTCACAAACATCAAAAATCGATTTTCTAAATATTTAATTTATAACGTAATGTTGACGGAACGCAAAAGGCGGAACTTGGAAGTGAGTAAGTGCAGCACCCGGACAGTCTGTGGCGGCACATAACAAAAACACTACTGGATGAGTGAGAAATCCGACCGGCTCCCTCTGCATTAAAGCCAGGTTAGGTCAGGAGTCACAACCCAAATGATAAGAAGAGCCATTTTGTCCTTTCAACAAAAAGCTCGGCGAAACCTCACTGCTAGGTGACCTGCAGTCTTCCACGCCCCCCTCTATCACGAGACCAAAACCGAAGTTATAAAATCACTAAAGAAAACGGGTAGGACGGCTGTAACGTACTGCGTGGTCATCCATCACCACTGGATCTTATTTCACCGTAACAGCGCATTTTATCGCAGATGAGTGGCAGCAGCGTCTCCAAACAAGAGCAGCGAATGAGAGCCTTCCAGTTCACTTGCCACATCACTTCCATTTGTTTTATTAATAAAAGATATTGGACATAAATGCATTATGGGTCATTACAAATACTTTGCTTTAAAAGTACCAAGTCCTCAGACAGTAAGAAAATAGAAATCATGTATAGAAAAAAAAAGATGCATCAATAATCGTTTTATAATCGCATCGCAGCCCTCTGAATCGTAATCGAATCGAATCGTGAGGTGCCTAAAGATTCCCACCCCAACCCCTCACATCAAGTAAATAAACAGTAATTGTGCATTGAAATGTGCAGACGTGTGCTCTCTGTAGAGGATGTATATTTGTTTTCAATCAACAAAACGTCTGACCAGGACGCCAATTACCGTAAGTGATAACTTCAACGTTCATGATGTATTTACCTTCTCATAACAGTTACATGTATGTACAGTGTTGTAGACTTAACAGCCTCCTGTATCAGTAAATTGATTAATCTAAAGCAAATACTACTATAATCTAATTTAAAAGTAGAGAAGTGGTGCTTTGTTAGTATCGATGGTGTGAGCTGCTGTGTAGATACGATGCAGTAAATGAACTTCTCAACATTCTGAGTTACAATTCCCTGTTTTTTTTTTTTATAGGCAGGTCATAAAGCTCAACAGTAAATGAAGAAATGTTTAATTAAAATCATATTAGGCAATGATAGATTCAGTTTCAAATTAAAGATTAAGACTTCCTACTCTTCATTGTAGTGCAATTGGTAGCACTGATGACTGGTGGTGGTGACTGCAGTATACTCTAGGTCTGAGAGCTACTGTGTTTGTGTCCCCCTACAGGTGGTGTACGCCCCGCAGCCTCGGGAGCGCTTCAGCGCACCCTCCTTCATGCAGCGCGAGCGCTTCAGCCGTTTCCAGCCCACCTACCCGTACCTGCAACACCAGATCGACCTGCCGCCCACCATCTCTCTGTCAGACGGAGAGGAGCCGCCTCCTTACCAGGGCCCGTGCACCCTGCAGCTGCGGGACCCCGAGCAGCAGCTGGAGCTGAACCGCGAGTCAGTGCGCGCACCGCCCAATCGCACCGTGTTCGACAGCGAACTGATCGATGCTCCGCGCCCCCCCAGCAGCAACTCTGGCATCAGCGCCGCCAACTCCAGCACTCACGGCCGCATGGAGGGCCCTCCACCCGCCTACAGCGAGGTCATGGGTCACTACCCGGGCGCGGCGTTTTTCCTCCACCAGCACAGCAATAACCAGTCCTCCAGCGTCAGCGGCATTCAGACTCCTCCGCCCATGGGCAGGACAGGCCAGGGCAGCCCGCAAAGCACAGTAGTCCTTAGCAAGGCCAAGGACATGCAGAGAGGAGAGCTAGTGTGAGGTGGGGTATGTGTGTGCAAGTATGCGGGGCTGCCAAACCGCACCCTCTCCTTTCCCCGCCTACAAAAGGGCACGGTTGCCCTTTCCACACTCCCACGCACAACAGAAAACAATGCATCGGTCTTGACTGTAGAAAAAAAAAAGAAAAAGAAAAAAGCCACATTACAAAAAGTAACCAAGTGGAGCTAAGCTTACAAAATAAAGTTTTACTTTCTCTCACTTAAACAAGACATGGTAGAGCTTTGTAGCGCTGTTTTGTACTTGTGTATTACCTTCATATGAGAGAAAATGATACTAGCACATAAGCCTTTTTTTTGTTTTTGCGCAAAACACCCACACATCCACAGGTATATGACAATATGACAGGACATGGAGTCGAGGAGAATTTTTTCCAAGACCAGGATCTGTGCACAATGTAAGATTTTAATCTAATCGTAGAAATCCAAATCATAGTGCCAAGGTTTTTGTGTGGGGACTGGCCTGAGGGTATAGACTCACTATTATACTTTCAAATCAAAACACACAGAAGTTGCACTATCTTTATTATGGAAAAAGAGAAGAGGGAAACTGAGATACATGTGGGGTTTTTGTGTTTTTTTTTTTTTCTTGTTCTTGTTGTTTTGTTTGTTTCATTTGTAGATTTTGAACAGAAGCTCCAAAGTTTGTCTGTGGGAGCAATAGGGTCTTAACCTGACCTCTGCACAAGAGTTACCTGGATCCAGCCTAAAAATTCTCCTTACCTAACCCTCTCTAAAAACACTGACCCTGCTCTCAGTGCTTTTCACTGACACTTTCAGTTTCAGACAATTTCATGCCTCTACACATGTCTCGAGGTCAGTTTGATGGCAACAGAATGTTATTTTATGTCACTTTACTAATAGAAATGCTCGGTTTCGTTACAAGTGTAGACTTTCTTATAAAGTTCCAGAGCAGGTCTACAGGACTTTTCCTTCATTGTAGTCGAGTTTGAATTGTTTTGATTCTGTCTCTCTCTCTTCCAGGCTTAAAGCTTACAAAAGAAACAAAGAAAGGTTCATCAGTGAGCAGGGTCAAGCTAATCTTAAAGTAATTCATTTGAAAACGGTAGATCATAATCAAGGTTCTAGTTGTGATCTTTTATACCTATTGCACTTGGCCTATGAGAAAAACCAAAATGGCATATATTTATCATCAGAACCGATTATATATGTGTGAGCTCTGGTCCTGTTCATTGTTCGTCTTGGACAGATGCTTCTCGTGGCTTTTCCTTACTTGAAATGGCTAATGCTGCCCATTCATGCACTCCTTCACTTTCAGCCCCTTTCTCACCATTAACATTCTGACTGGTAGGCAAGAACAACACAAGAGTGAACAAAAAAAAGTACCTAACCAAACCCCTTTTTGCATGCCGAAGTTTGTGTTGTATACATCTTCTAGATAGTATAATCAGGTTCAAAGACGTGGTGAGGCTAAGGGCTAATGTGAGGGTTAAATATTATTTTATTTTTTATTTGTATTATAATTATTGTTTTTTGTGTTTTTTAATATCTCATTATCCCAGCCTTCTTCTGCTATGTTGCCTTTCCTCACTCTGTCATCAGGCAGTGTTAACCTGACCCCAGCGCCAGCTTCTGCCCAGTGCGCTTCCCTCCTTACTTGGCCCTTAGATAAGCACTTGACTTGGGACAGTGGTGATGTAACATGAGCTCCGCTTCCTGTCCTTACTGAGTGATGTTTATTACAGTATGTAGGATGAAAATTGCTCTAGGAAGGCATGCTGAAGTTTTGATATATACAGTCCCAACTGGACTGCACTAATGCAGGCTCGATTCCTTCATCCTCCCACTGATTTCTTCCAAAATGCACTGAAGAGCAGAACTGATTTCAAATCTAGGAGAGAATGATGCCCCGAAATACAAGCCCTTCCTTCGGTCACTTAAAACCTCACTCTAAAATGTTCAGTCATTTTCATCTTTTAAAACCGTAGGTGTTTGGGTATGTTCAACATGACTTGGTGCTAAATTTAGCTTAGGAAAGTTTACAATCTGAGCGACCTTACCTATTTTCTGTAAAACTCATTTAGTCTTCTCAAAACATTGATTATTGGTCAGAACAGTTCAGCTACGAACATTTAAAGCTCAGCAAGCCTATTGCACATAGAGGGCATTGCTTACCAAAAGGCCACTTTGAAAAATGGAAGTTTGTTGGCCCGCCAGATGAACGGAGACCAGACGTAGACTTTTGAATCTCTTATGGTGGGAAAAAAATCGACTTTTGAACAGGACCCTTAGGTACTTTTGCCTTCAAGTGCAGCACACATCCCTTTAACATGGAAACTAAAGACTGAGAGACTCCCTTTCTAGCCCTTTTTTGTTCATCTAGTGCATGTTTTTCCATGGACGAACATGGCTAATCTGAAATGTCCATGACCATGTTGGTATTTGTGTAACTATAGTTGTTTTGAGTATCACTGCCCCTTAAGTCTAACAGTGTGATTGGCTGTCTTTACTCCGTACCTGCAGCGTTGAAACTGTGTGCATGTGTATGTGTTTGTCTGTGTGAAATCATTTGTTTCTGCCGTCTTAATGAAGATAATAACATGATCCGTAAGCTAGTTCTCCAGCCAGTCAGCTACGAAGCCTAGATTTACTCGATCTGGCTCTTGACCACAAGCCTTAACTGAGTAGAAGTATATATGGAAGATGCTGACCCAGGTTCGTGGACACAGACCAAGCCCAGCCCTGGAACAAAAAAAGGTCTATTTTGTAGTGGATCTTCGCTGACACTGTGCGTTGTGCGTCCACGTGTTTAGGGCTGGTTCCCTGAACATAAATTAAGCTTAGTTCTGTACTATACTGGAGTACCATTGCCTGCATGTGTGATTTAGTCCAGGACTAGGTCTGGTCAGTGTCAGTCAGTGTTTGGAAGGATTTCCTCTAATCAAGCATTTATGAAATGGGCAGAGCCACCATCTGCACAATTCAATAGTGGGGTGTTTTTTGGGGACAGATTTAAACTAGACATGAGGATTAAATTCGCTGATAATGATAAAGTCCATTTTAATCCCAGACTAGGCTTAATCTGTACCTAGAGAGCTGACTTTTCACACAGATTACCATGAATCTTGATGTTAAATTTTTCTACTGCAATGCCAGCATTTATGAAGGGCTTATGCCAGCACCCCCACACTTTCCATTATTATTTGAGCTCTATTATTTGAACAGGTTGAGATGGATTAGGTATGTAGAGTATCCACTTGCAGAAAGAGAGAACGCTCTTTTTTTGGGTTTTTTCTTTTTCTTTGTTCAGAACTGGCTCGTATGCTTGAGGCAACACTAAAAGCGTTCTGGTCAGATCTTCTCTCCCTTCATTTACTCTTCCAAAGAGCTCCCAGAGCTTTTCTTTCATCTCTGCTGTTTAATGCTGCTGCTATCACTACTGCTGCTGCTGCTTCCGCCAATTGATTTTTCGTTCTGGCCTGCGCTTGTTGGCCCGACCCTTTTCTGGTAATGACCATCATTTCGCTGTCTCCGCTTGAGCTTTTCCTGCCTCTTTTGCTTCATCCGACCGTTGTCCTTGTTACAAAAGAAGTGCTTGTTTTCGTCGTGTACGGAATGAGGCGTTCTGCATGTCCGTATGATGTGAGCTAACTCGGTGCCTAATGTTCACGTTTTGAGCAGACGTAGAAACCCACTTGCACTCTTCAAGCTCCCACCTTTGGTGTGCCTCACTTCCAACGGTGCTTTTTTCACTGGTCTGTCTTTCTTTCTTTTTGTTTGTATGTTTTCTTTTTTGTTGTTGATGTATTTTGTTTTTTTTTGTTTGTTTGTTTTTGTAAGGTGCTGTAAATAACTTGAATATGTTATGCACACATATCCTACCCAATGGGTAGAAACCACAGAAAAAGACATTGTTAATAATGTAATATAATGTATAGATGGTATAAAAATTTAACACAGTGGTATCAGGTTTGTAAATGCCTACAGTTGAGATGTGCTTTTGTCTTTTTTTCTGTCTTTTTCTTTTTGTTTGTAAACAAGGAGAAGGTTTGCAAAACGATACTTAAATATGAATTACAGAATGATTACAAAGTACTTATTTTTTTTATGAATAATAACCATATTAACAGTATGAATGGCAGTTGTTCTAGGACAAGAAACATGCTTGAAGTAGAATATAAATGTTTTTTTTGTTTGTTTGTTTGTTTGTTTTTTAATCCTACCCCAAATAACTTGCAGAATTTGTACTACATAGGGCTGGGCAGTATAACGGTAGAATCAGTGTACCAGTAGAAATTTGTGCTGCAGTGTGGATTTAACCGTATCGTTTACACCCAAACTTTCACGTTTACCACAAACGTTTTGATCCATGAACCAACCAAGGCATTGGACTAGCTAGCTAATCGTAAATTAAAGGGTACTGTGGGCTTCTAATCAAATAGTGAAGTCGACAAATTGTGTTTGGTTGCATATGATAATTTAACTAGGAATTCATAACGGAAAGTCACAGTAGTTTTCAGTTAGATCAATTTAATTTAATTTGTCTTATTTCACAGAATGATAGCAACAGTTTTTTCATTTCATAATGGAAAAAAGTGGACATATACCACTGAATTAAATCTGTACAATTTTAACAGTATACTGCCTACGCCTGCAGCAGTTAATCAGGCCAGTACAGGCTGTAATAGTGGATTTATTTCCTGTCTAGTCAAAATAATTGTAGTGTAATTTATTGTGATTAAAACAATCTCCACATTCCCCAGGCGCCAAAGTTGGAAAGGTGATTTAGGACATGAACCTACTTGCAGAAATAGACATAATGAAAGTGGTGTTTCTCTAAGGAACAGCGTACAAGTGTACAGAGAACACTGACGTGAGAGCAGAGACCCTGACTTTTTGGAAATGGTTGATTTTATATCTGTATTGCACAAAAAAAAAAATCAATCACTGTTCAGACATTTAGAAAGTGCATAAATAGTTTGAGGCACTTTGTAACAAAGTTAAAGCCAATTTAGTCTTAAACTTCAAATTTCCGTACAGTGCTATGCTTCCTGCCTTTCAGTAATCAGACAGTGGTAAGTTCTACCATTCATAATTTTGTAATATTTATCATTTTAGACATTCTGTGTTATGTGGTATGTCGGAACAAAACTACAGTTTTAATCGCAGACCGTTATGCGGGGTCTCCACTGTAACTACCTGTTGAGCATGTCCATAATTATGTAACAGATGATGATGTACATAGCGATGCCATTTTGTTTCTCCAATGACCAGTGGCAGTTGTGTAGCCTTGAGAGGCCTACGGTGTGTTTTTAAACCCCAGAACGCTGTAGACTTTTGTTCTTCGCGTTAGTGTGAAGAGCTAGCATGGACTGAAGCTGATCGCACCTCAGTTTGTTTCTTCTAAAAGCATCAGATGCTTGTGCACACCACCGCTAACGTAGCTTTTCAGCATTATTGGTCAACACAGGACTGCTTCCATCATGGACTTTGTATCATTGGGTTTTTATTTTACGAATTGTACCCCAGCAGATTTTTCTTTATCTGTGTGTATGCATAAGTGTGTATGTGTATTTTCATATACACGTACATGCATATTATGCTCATATACACATTAAAATGTGTATTTTGCCTCTTTTTTATTTAAGCAATTGTGATGTAATAGGTTCTAGGCCTAAGGTCTGTTACTGCAATACTTTTTCAGAAAAAAAAGTAAAAGGACAAAAAAATAGTCAAAAAAAATGTTGCTCTAAATGCCGTTGTAGTCAAAGATTTTATGCTTGTACTGCTGTGGTCAAACCATAGCAAAACATTAAAACTTAAAAATACTAAAGTGTGTCCTCTCCTTCAAATGCCTTTTCATTTCCCTATAGATTCTGATTTCTCAGTTTAATGGAAGTGATTTTAACTTAAGCAAAGTCATTACATGACATTCTTGACATTCATTCTGTTTTATTCATTCATGCTGGGATTGCTGATTAACAGAAACAGAAAAAAGACAATGTCATGAATACTGTATTTTATTTCTTCAATACAGTCTTTACAAATAACTTTTCATAAATGCAGTCCACATGCTAAGTTTAAAGGGGAATTCCACAGATTTGTAAAAATTTCTGCATAATTCAGTCTTTGAGATATGAACAGAGACATTAAAGTTTGATATAAAAGGTAGAAAAAGCTTGTAGAAAACCCTCCAGCTCAGATGTTTACAGTATTAATAGTAGGAACACCTATATAGGCATTTATTTAACATCTAAAACAAATAGTGATTATTAGGGGTGCAGGAAAAAATCGATTCTTAGATGCATTGCAATACAGACGTGAACAATTCTGAATCGATTCACAAATGTCAAAAATCGATTTTCTAAATATTTAATTTATACCGTAATGTTGACGGAACGCAAAAGGCGGAACTTGGAAGTGGGTAAGTGCAGCGGACAGTCTGTGACGGCACACAACAAAAACACTACTGGATGAGTGAGAAATCCGACCGGCTCCCTCTGCATTAAAGCCAGGTTAGGTCAGGAGTCACAACCCAAATGATAAGAAGAGCCATTTTGTCCTTTCAACAAAAATCAAACATTTAATGTCCAGTATGTGTCAGTATGTGATAATGTCCTAGTACAGGCTAAACAATATAAACGAGAGCGCAGATTTACTTCGTTCTACTTTAAGCTTCAGCTCAACTATAGCCGCTTTGCTCCCATCTCCGCCAGAAAACTTTTCCTCAAAATTAGAGCAGTTTCTTGTAAAATGTCTCTCAACATCCGGCTGTCTTACGAGGCTGAAGTCGCTTCTTATTCTCCAGCTTCTCGTTCGAATTTTCCTGTCCCACCTTAAATTCTGACTGAGGCGCCGAATGTAAATGCGGCACCATTTAAGGTGGAACGACAAAATTCGGAAGAGAAGCCACTTCATCTTCACAACTTTTGTGTTTGACAGTCTCTCACTGCAGATTTAACTTGCCAGGAAACCAACTGCGCTGCTTATAAATGCAAATAACGCATCGCTGCTATGTGACCTGCAGTCTGCACGCCAATTCTCAGTTGTTGCCAAACAGTGCTTTTGCCCTATGCTGCACACGACCCGTCTCGAAGATATTTTACTGACACAGCGATCCTCCCCACCCCTTTCTCTACATCGAGACCAAAACCAACGTTATAAAGTCACTAAAAATGGGTAGGAGGGCTGTAACGCGCTGCGTGGTCATCCATTACCACTGGATCTTATTTCACCGTAACTGCGCATTTTATCGCAGTTGAGTGGCAGCAGCGTCTCATGTGCTCCAAAGGCAGTGAGAGAGCCTTCTAGTTCACTTGCCACATCACTTGCATTTGATTTATGAATAAAAGACATTGGAAGTAAATTCATTATGGATTATTACAAATACTTAGCTTTAAAACTACCAAGTCCTCAGACAGTGAGAAAATAGAAATTATGTATAGAAAATAAAAGATGCATCGAGATGCATCGATAATTGTTTTATAATTGCATCGCAGCCCTCTGAATCGTAATCAAATCGAATGGATTTTAAATATACACATTTTTGGCCATAATCTTAAAAAAACTCCCTCAGGCATTAAGCAGGGTATTCTTTACCATTTCAGGTAATAGCTTTAAAGAAGCCTTAAATTCTTGGGACGTCTGGTTCCTATCACCACTGCTGTAAACAGTTCTGACTCGGTAAGTTTCTATACGATGCAGCACTTCACATCAAACCACTCTGATTCTGTCATTGACTGTCTTTGACTTTACATCTTTTTTAAATTTTACAAAAATAATGAAAATTAAGTTGACTTCCCCTTTAAAGGAAGTGCAAATCAGGTCTCCATTTCTGTACACCTATAGATAGCTAACTCTACCCTCACTGAGCACTTTATTAGGAACACCTGTACGATGCATGATTTATGTCATTTTGACTGTGTCATGATTCTTGGTGCCAGACGGGCTGGTTTCAGTAATTCTATAACTGCTGATCTCCTCTAGAGTTTACTCAGAGTGGTGCAATAAAGAAAAAACATCCAGTGAGTGGCAGTTCTATGGATGGAAATGCCTTGCTGATGTGAGAGGTCAATGGAGAATGACCAGGCTGGTTCAGGCTGATAGAAAGGCAATGGCACTCTGTACAATTGTGGAGTGCAGAAAAGCATCTTGGAATACACAACATGTTGAACATTGAGGCGGATGAGCTATAACAGGAGAAGACCATGTCGGTTTCCACTTCTGTCAGCCAAGAACAGACAGCTGAGGCTGCAGTGGGCACAGCCTCACCAAAACTGGACAGGTGAAGACTGGAATAGTGCCTAGTCTGATGAATCTCGATTTCTGCTGAGGCACACGAATGGTAAGAGTCAGAATTTGTTGCCAACACCATGAATTCATTGACCCAACCTGCCTTGTGTCAACAGTCCAGGCTGGTGGAGGTGGTGTAATGGTGTGGGGACAGTTTTCTTGGCACACTTTGAGCCAGTTAATAGTAATCAATCATCGCTTGAATGCCACAATCTATTTGAGTATTATCACTGACCATGTGCACCTCTTCATGGACACAATTTAACCATCTTTTATTGGCTGCTTCCAGCATGATAATGCAGCATGTCACAAAACGTCATCTCAAACTGGTTTCATGAACATAACAATGGGTTCAATGTTCTTCAGTGGCCTTCCCAGTATTAGTATAGTGTTCCTAATAAAGTGCTCAGTGAGTGTATATACAGACAGATTAGCATGGCTTTAATCCAATCATTCCTGGCTGGATTTAAAAAAAAAAAACTCTTCACTAAAAACAGTAAGGTATAATTAGATATATTGACTTGGCTGTCAGAAAGAAATACATTCACACTTTAATTTACTAAAACAAGTACAATCCTAAATTTGAAAACCTTTATAATAAAAATTTCAAGTGACAAAAGATATTTCAAGTTTCATATCAATCACACCTTTTATAATACTACATTCAAAACAAGTTAGTAGGCCATGTTTCGTATCAATTTATGAGAAGTCAAATATTCATAGATTTTTTTTCCATACAGTTTAAAAAGTTCCAGTAAAGGATGCATGAAAACTACCTCCCTGTGCTACTGATGCAGTAACAATTTATTTATTCCAATCTATCGTGTAGACATACAACCCACTCGTATTGTGACAGCCAAGATGTAAACAAATAATTCCAAACGTTAATGTGGCTGTGATGAAGTAGACTCTTTTCTGACTGACTCCCCATTTAAACTGGATCAAGTTATGGTGTAAACAGACTTGTCTGTATACCAGACAGATACCAACACTTTCAGTACATCTGGGTATTATGAAGACACTAAAGTGGATGAGAATTCAGGACCTCAGGTTCTAATAAATTTCCAGTTAGAGCAACGCTTCAGAGGCCTAACTCTGAAATAATATTTATACTGCACGCAAATTATAAATTTCTAAAATTTTTCTACCCTGTGTATTTCCTCATCTCTCAGGCAGCTGCCTGGTCACCATGCATGACTGCTGCTTACAGCTCACTGTAAGCGCACCATCGTTATTCCATTTTCTTCCGGAAAGACACTTTGTCTTTCGTCTCCTGCAGTTTGTCCGAGAGCTTGTCTTTCGTCTCCTCCATTTTTTCAGTGAAGCGCTCTTTAGTCTCTTCCATTCGACCTGAGAGGAGCTCTTTGGTTTCTTCCATTTTCTCAGAAAACCGTTCTTTCGTCTCCTCCATCTTTTCAGAGAGTCTCTCCCTGGTCTCCTCCATTTTGTCTTGAAGATACTCTTTGACTGGAGGGGGGGTGGAGAAGTAGCCGTGCCTCCGGAGATACTGCACTGACAGAGATGTGCCACCCAGAGTCACTGTGTACCTGGCTGGTGTAGCAAGCTGAGACAAATAAGTAGAAAATATATAATGTGATTGAAAATAAAGGATAGTACATTTATGAGGATTCAATTTCAAAGCTCCTCCTGCAAACTCATATTATTTGTTTTTAATATCAGGTAGCACAAAATATATGACCGATCCTAAGGCAAATACAAAATGTAAAAAGCAGTAATCATATTTGCCTTAGGGAAAAACAGATTATCTAGGGTGACCAAACACCCCTGTTTTCGGTGGCCTGTCCCCAGCTGTCCCTGGAAATGCCCCTGTTTTTAACCGTGGATTAAAAACACACCAGAAAGTCTTAAGAAAGACCTGGAAGCCTGGCCAGTGGGCAGATGTCTCGCAATGTGTAGCAAAACATTCATTTAAACGGAACAGTGGTGCATTGAGAGTGCACTTTTTGCCATCCTTTTAGTGTATTCTAACAAAAAACTTTACAATAAAATATGACAGACTGCACACTGCTTTGCACTGTTTTGCACTGTTTCAACAAAACATGTTCAACTGGAAACTGTAGCAAAACAGTGCACATTTTGAGATTTAGTTTAGTACAGTACAACAGTTGCCGTGGTCAAAATACATGAAACTGGAACTGTCCCCTCTTTCTTATTATTTCACAGATAAAAACACCGAAAATTTTAATAATATACTGACCACCAAACTTTAAATGTCCCTGGTTTTCAATACAGAAGTCTGGTCATATTGAACCTAGACTTAGTATTGTAAATACCAGGGACAGGGGCTTTCATGTTGTTTTATTCTCGTTCTATTCAGTTCTGGCCAGCTAATACCTTGTACATGGCGTAGGCTGTTAGTGCATATCCACCCTGTGAGTCTCGCAGAATGCCCACCACTTTGTCAGGTAATCCAATGTACTCCAGAAACGGGACCAAGTTCACCCCTCTGAAGAAGTGTAGAACATAAAGGGTGTTGTGAAAACGTTTTGATGAAACACAAACCAAATGACATACTTTGAAGATCACAGTTTTGTGCATAGTAACTGAAAGTGCATTTCTGCTGCTTTTTATGGCACGCTGACTAAATTGTGCCCTGGATTTGTTTACAGTCCTGACGACAGTGAAGTGTGTCTGAATTAGAGAGGCTCAGACAGACTTTACACTGTAAAACTGCTCTGCCAAGTTGCCCTTAAAGCCACAGGGCTTGATTATATAGTCTGTATTTACTATATGTGCCTATTGCTGATCAGATGAGTGCAATGCTCAGCAATGCCTGACCGATTACTATTCTTAGGACAAAATGCTGGGTCTGTATAAACAGATGAGATGATACCAGACCTTGAACAAAATTAGAAAGGTGAATTGACGTATTCAGTTAAATAATCTAGATTTCTGTGGAGACACTGTTGTCTGAGATAATGATGGTGGCTAACAGTGTCACAAGGACTAACTGTGTCACACTGTAACAATAGTGCATACAACAGATCATAAGTGTTTATTGTTAAGCTGTATAATTAGAGAGTTACTTACTTCATTGCAGCGTAGTAAAACGCCCCAAACCACGCAGTGGAGGTGACAAGATGTACAGGCACCATGACTTTGCCGTACTGCTTAAACGTCTTCTTGAACCTCTGGTAGAGGCCAATAGATTTGTCCTGCAGGGGATCAACATCAGGCTGTGGTGCAGCACCTGATGGCACATCGGTCACACGCTCTGTCCCCTTTGTTGGCGTTTTAGTCTCAGGGGGCGTCTTTGGGGACTCGTTGCCCCTGGCGATGGCAGAGGAGCTGAAGCAGCGTACAGTGAAACGGTTTATGCGTATGACCTGTTCGCTAACGGGCAGCTCCCTCATGTTCACGTCCAGGCAGACAGAGCGCAGCTGGACAGCTGCAGGACACAGCACCCGCTGCATCTCCTCCTCTAGCTCTCTGCTCGTCACCTACACAACCTAAGAGGGGAAAAAAAAAGAATATCTGCCTTTTATACAGTGCAGTCTAGTGTTTTTCAACATGTATTCACTTTATTATTATAACAGTGTTCATAAAAAATATAAATCGGCCACTGGCTGTATTTTTGTCTTTGATAGTAACTGCTTAGTCACAGCTTGACTTGCCATGCCTTAACACACCCACACAGAGTCTTTTCGAGCCTCTGGCCCAAAACACATTTGCAGACTAATAATACCAAAAACAAAATGTGTTATAAGTGTGAAAGCATACTCTTGACTGTTATTACAGTGCATATTATTAGTTAAGAAACAAATGTTTAAAGAAAATATCAAATGCACTTCAAAAAGTCCTTCCACTTCACCTTCAAGCCAAGGGGTGGAGCTTTTGAGGCAGTAAATAAGCTGCCGGAACACACGAGCTGATGACAGCCTTCAAATAGAGCACCTAATTCACATACCACTGCATTCCGTTAAGTAGATACTGAAGCATCACACTGGAAAATTACACGTTTTATACTGAAACAGAAAATAACAAGGAGACGTTTGAACTGAAATCGCAGTATTTCAGTTAGTGAGATCCGCGTGTAGCCAGCACTTCTTAGGCAGTTGTTAGCTGTCGATGAGCGAGGCTTAAGTTGGCTTCCTCGCTGGCAGCTTCTTATTCGAATTTTCCGTTCCACCTTAAATAGTGCAGCGGTTACATTCTGGCGCCTGTACACAATGTTACTGCAGCGCCATATAAGGTGGAACGGAAAATTCGAATAAGAAGGTAAGTTCAGTTCGTCCGACACGCACCACAGAGACAGCAACACAGTCAGTGGAATTAGAGAAGTGGAGTGCAGACCTGGGCGAACATTCAGCTCCTGGACATGGTCGTCTTCTCTGTCACTGCCCCATTGTGTCCTCTCAGCGCGCCATGCCTCGCACTGCTCCTGGCATGTAACGTTAAACTTTTTCCACACAGCTCCACATGGACTTTGCTCGCGCGCTGCTCTATGGGAAGTGAAGTCTGTATGAGGTAAGGCGTACGTGACGTGATGTCCTGACGCAAAGACCTTGTCGTACGTGTAAACATACACGCGTATGACTTTTCAGATCATTTTTAACGGTATTGTCAAATACAGCTGTACAATGTGAGAGAAAATATATATATATATATTTTTTAAGAAAATAAAGTATTTCGTAGCCAAACCTCCAGACCACTTTTCATTTGTGCAGCTCACTTTGTAATTCTTTGTTCTCGCCACTAGATGGCGATATTATTTCCAGGCTCGACAGGGGACAATTTCGCAAAAGCATTTTTTTCTCTACTGTGTAATTCACGAAGAGCTAGTCAGACAACTTTAGGCAAATATTCTTCTTCTTCTTCTGTTGATATTGTTTTTGTCCTTATTATTATTATTATTATTATTATTATTATTATTATTATTACTAGGAAACATGCATGTAGTACAGTTGTTTCTACCTCATTCTGACAACAGAGTGTAAAAGAATACACTCTGTGATGGAAATAGGCATCTATCGATCTATTTGCAGTCATTAGTGCAGTGGAGTTGCCCCAAGATGACTCGTCATTTTTCTAATAATGTTTAGTGGTTATAATTTCAGAACATTGTCTGTTGTTTGACAGTCACTTTTATTACAGTAAAAAGATCATTCCAGGTGCAGCTTTGGACACTACCCAACTTAAAACATTTAACTCTTAAATTGGTTCAGATCTATGTAGACTTTAATGTGCACTTGTACTTTCTGTTTTTATTTCCATGTAATATTTACCTTAATTAAAAGGAATATAGACATATTGTATAGCTACAATGAACATGAACAGTAAACATTCTAAAAAGGTAAATTCATCAGACTGTGTTTATCTGTTCCCTGCATTTTCTTTTAAATAATAATAATAATAATATTAATAATAATAAGTCATTATTAAGAAAACCAGACCTAAAGAGAAGTAGGAGCATTTGCAATTTCAGAAAAGCCTACTATAGCAGGTCTTGTCTCCTGTCATTTGTAATTGTGCTGTTATTTCATTTTATCTTTCAGATATTTTACTCATCTAGTGCAACGCACTTTGGGATTTTACGACTAAAATGAAAAGTGTCATATAAATAAATATGAAATGGATGGTCCAAATGAAATAACAGCACAGTTACAAATGACAGGAGACAAGACCCGCTATAGTAGGCATTTTTGAGATGCCATAGTCTAGATCATTAAGACATGCATTTGAAGACACATTCGTCTGAGCTACTGATGTGAAAGGAAATGTCCTTCACGAGCTGAGAAAATCAGATCTAAAGAGAAATAAGAGCGTTTGCAATTTTCGTGTATGTCATTGCCCACACATGCTCATTTGTAACCCTGAAGGTCAGTGACCTGCATTTTCACACCTCCAAACATTGAACATTTCTGAACGCTTTCTATGAGGGCACACTTCAGCTATTTCTCACATGTTTTGCTCTCACTGGACCAAACACAGCCTGTGTGCATCGGATCAATGCCCTTGGCTAGTGAAAGTCATGGCAAATAGCATGACACTGAAACAGTGCAATGGACACATAGCAAATGTGAAGGAATTGAAGTTTGTTGCACCTTTCAGCGTGCTACGTGCAAAACATTGTGGGAATGAGTCTCTGCAGGTCCAGTATAAAACGAAACCCACCACCTTGGGAGCTGAGAAGTGAGACAGTCCTTTGAAATGAACACCTAGGCCTACTTCCTCGTTGGCTCTTCTGCTGAGAAGAGAACGTGTTAACACTTGAGTAAAGATCAATGCCCAGCAGAAAAAAGTGCTTATTTAACCTATATTAGCCATAGAAGTGAACTGTATTGTTGTTTTTGGATCAAATTGGCAACTCTATTAGAGGAGGATGAAATAATATTCATTTTTAATGTAAGTTAATGTGAAGCAGTTTTATTCCAAGTAATTTTCGTTATTTTCCAACAGCAAAGATATATTTTTCTAATTTTCAGTTATGACCAAATATACGCTGTGGTTCCAGGTAAGGTAACCAAAGTGTTTTCTTAACACTGTCACACGCTGTGGTAAATAACAATGTTCCAAATCCGATACATGCTGTCCTGTGTACATTTTCCTCTGAACGTCAGAAGATCCTTGAATTACGAGGTCATTAAGTAGTCGAAATATGTTTATCGCTACATGCAAGCGAACACTGTGGCATATCAAACAAACATCATAAGACTGTTAACCTCACCAAAGTACCCCATACAAATCAGCGGTATTTGTTAAGTGTGCTAGTTGAACTGCTTTGGCAGTAGTATGTTACAGTCTGAGTTGTTTGTGTTGGTATATAACAGTGTTGAAGTAGACTTACTCTCATGCAACGTCATTTCAGTGTGCAGCAGTGTTAGCTTGCTTGTGGCATCCAGTGATATTCAGGGAAAAAGAATACACAGGATAGAAACAAATCAACTTTGAGACATTTTTTACTACAGGATATAATATGAATCATTTTCTTTAATGCTTTTTAGTTTTTCCATAGGCAAAACTGCTTTAGACCTGGAGTTCCTGATATGGGTATGACTACAGGGTGACCCATAACAGAGGTCCATGAAAAATGGTGACCTGGAAGGCCTAACTCCCAGCTCCAGCCAGGCATTATGGTTGCTTGAAGTGCCAGTGGTGGTGACATAAAAAACCAGAGCATGAAGAGTCAAGCAAGGAGCCACATCAGGCCCCAGAAGGGGAAGTGAGCCACCTATACTTAGAAGTAGCCACGAACCAGAGAGGCAAGAGCTTCCTGCAGTCCCAGGTAAGGTAGGCTGATGTTTAAACCTAAAAGAAATGTCAAGGAGCTCCCATTTTACCTGACCTAGTATGGGAGATTGGAGTAAAAAGTTTAGGACTTTTCTTAAGCCAGAGTACAGATGAATGATTAATCATTTTTACATTGAAATCACAGTTTTTAGGATTGAAATTTTCAAACTGCAAGAGCTACAATTTCAAATATAGCTTACAACAATATTGCAATAAGTTTATTGTGAAAATGTAACCTAATAACAGAGTTTATGAACAGCCTGTAGATGAGTTAGACCTATCAGAAGCTACCAAACACCCATGTGTGAAAAAAACACAGTTATCTGGCTGTTTGGAACATGATGTTCAGTCTCAAGTTGGAAAAGGTGATGTATGTTGGTTTTCTTTCCCAAAAAAAAAAGCCCAGAGCTCAATTAATAGAAAATAATTGCAATTTAAATTGTAGTCACACTATTCATCAAAAAAAGTTGATTCACACGTTGTTCAGCCCTGGCAAACAGTTTCTTATATGCTGCTGAAAAAGATGAACAGGAGCTGGATGGATATCTTGTGGGTGATGTATCACCAGATACACACTGGACACCGGCAAGCTTGAAATGCCCAGCAGTGCTGCAGCTCTTTCCATGCTAAAGCCAGCAAGCCTGATACCTACAGTCATTCCCCTTTCTAAGGTAGAATTTTTCTTGATCCTTCTCATCTACACAATCCATATCTCAGTAGCCTCAAGCCTTAAAAATACTTTTTACACTTCCTCTGCTCTGACTGATTACCACCTGTTTCTCTTAATCTGTCTGTTTGAAAGAGAAAACTGGTGCCACCAGTGTCACAGCAGTGAGTGATCAATAGTGTGATTAAAGTGGTTCTCTACAGCTGCCCTGCATGTCATTGTGTTATCTTTGCTCTTACTCTGGTTGCTTGAAGTGCCAGTGGCGGTGACATAAAAAAACAGAGCATGAAGAGTCAAGCAAGGAGCTACATCAAACCTCAGAAAGGGGCGGTTAGTTTATTAGTTAATCAGCTGAATCAGGTGTGTTGGGAGCACACAAACTCAACAGTGTGTAGGGAAATGATACCCCAAAATGGAGAAGCACTGTAATAGGTTGGTATAATATATTCAGAGCTCATAGGTGTCATGGAAAAACAGGAAAGTCATGAAAAAAAAAGAAAAAAAAAAATCTGGTGGGCTCATTTAGCATGAGCATCACATTGTTAGCTCTAGCCTGGACAATCTTTTAGCTTGTAGACTAAATATCAGTCACAGTCACACTTCATTTAGTCAACTCACCTGGAAAGTATGTAGTTTAACCTGCTATTGCTGGTTATTGCAATGGCAGCTACAAGGACTGGCTTCATAAAGGCAAATCTAATAAACACATGGCATGACATTGGGAACATGATTGAGTCTGTGTTGAAAAGTCTTTTGAAATGAAGTGAACCTTGTGAACTGAAGAAAAGCAAATCATCATACGTGTCATTAATTAAAACAAGAAGGAGAAAAATCTGCAGTATTCTCTTGCTGGCTTAACTGTAACTATGACCTTATTTTTATATATGTATCTCTGGATGAATTATACACAACACAAAGCCACTTTTACAGTCATTTACAGTTTTATGCAAACGTTTGCATGCCCTGATCTTAATGTTCTTTTGATTTTCAAAGTTAAAAGTACAGTCCTCTACAGAGAACACACGTCTGCACATTTAAATGCACAATTACTGTTTATTTTTCAGGGGCGGCACGGTGGCGTGGTGGGTAGTGCTGTTGCCACACAGCAAGAGTGGCCTGGGTTCGATTCCTGGCCAGGCGACCGGGGTCATTTCTATGTGGAGTTTGCCTGTTCTCCCCGTGTCTGTGTGGGTTTCCTCCGGGTACTCCGGTTTCCTCCCACAGTCCAAAAACATGCAGTCAGGCGAACTGGACATGCTAAATTGCCCCTACGTGAATGTGTATGTCTGTCTGTCTGCCCTGTGATGGACTGGTGATCTGTCCAGGGTGTATCCTGCCTTCTGCCCAATGACAGCTGGGATAGGCTCCAGCACCCCACCGCGACCCAGAAGGATAAGTGGTTTAGATGATGTGTGTATGTGTGCGTGCATGTGCTCTATGCAAAAGTTATGGCACGTTATGGGCCCCCCCCCCCAACATGTTAAACTCAGTTAATAAATAGATATTTTGTGCATGAAAATTAGCAGAAAAAGTGTACGTTTGTG